ATTTAGGATTCAAGATCTTTTGCAAACACAACGCGCTAATCCACCAGTTTCTACCTCTCAAGACTTAATTCCGTTTCTGATGAAGTAAGATATCAAAGAATTGTGTTTTTGTCGTCGGCTTCGAAAATTTCTAGGGTAAAATAGATGCATCTGTCTTTCATTGTGAGGCAACAAAGATAGATTATATAGAACTAATATATGTTATATTTATATGCAACTGAGTTTGTTCAACTCTCACCCAGGCTTTGAAACAAGTGACCATTAACTTCTCAGTCCACAGGGGGGGAAAACAAAATCTTCAATCCTCACTGTCAACTAAATAAGAGGCAAAATCATGTTTTTTGATTTTTTTTTTTGGCGGGGGAAGCGCTTTTCAAAACCCTCCCCTGAGAACTCCAGGTCTTAAGACTTACTCAGAGAAGAGGGGAAAAAAAAGAGGAGAAAATAGATCTTTTCCCATTGAGTTAGGTAGGGTGGGCAGAAGAGGGTCTCTACATTTGGCGGGAGCAGGGAAGGAGCCCCTAGAAATGCTGAGGGGGTCGGTGGTGGGAGGTGCCCCGAGGGCGCGGTGCACGAGGAGAGAGGGCGGGAGATAAGCGCAATCTCCCGCGCTCTCCGGCCAGGACGCTGAGGAAGAAGAGTTTGGGAAACTGAGGAAGTGAGCTAGCTAAACAACTGTGAACAGGGGGTTTAGGGGGCTGGAGATGGGGCCTCTGGCTGGTCTGGAAGCCCAAAGCCCTGTCACAGCTCGGGCAGGAGTGGGGGAGGGGAGGGGGCTTTTGGCGCCCATGCAGGGGTTGGGGTGGAATCCCGCGCGCAGCTGCCACCACCTGCACGTCCCCACGGCGGGACACCTGGATGAGATGGGATGGTGGGACCCCGTGCCAGCCACACACCTGTCTCCACTCTGCACGAGGCGACTCTCCTCCCCGGGCCCGGAAGGCCGCCCGAGGCCCGGGACCCCACGATCTGCACATGCACCCGGTCATGAGGCTGCAGCCACAGAGCGGGGAACCCGTCCCTACGATGCCCGCCACACTCACCGTCCGGGACCGTCCGCGAGCCGAGGCTGCAGGGGCAGGAGGACGGCCGGGGCAGCCCGCTACAAACGCGCCGGCTCATGCCGGAGGGCGCGGGCTCCGACGCAGGTGAAGTGGCGGCGACCACAGGAAAGAGGCGACTGGCCGCTGCGCCGAGCTGTAGCTCTTAAAAGGCGCCAGCTGGTACTTTTAAAATCTTTGAATTTGGTGCCCAAATCAGAACAGACCAATGGGGCGCGGCGTCCGTACGCGCGCGCCAATAGGCAGGCGGTGTGAGGGGGACGCCCTCGCTCGCCCAATAGGAAGCCGCGGGGGCGGAGCCAGCCGCGGAGCCAGGGTCCCGCCCACCGCCCGGATCCGCGCCTCCCCGAAAAGGCAGAGGGCGTGGCAAGACGGCTGGGGCGGGGCCTGCGAAGGCGGAGCGCCGGCGCAGACCCGCCGTGCTTCCCTCCCCCCCACGCTTTCCCGCGAACCGTCCTCCCGCGAGTCCTTGTGTCCAGCGGACAGCTGCGACTTCTGCCTGCAGATCTGTGACGGGCACAGGCGGGGCCCATGTCCTCTTCCATCGTCTCGTTAAGCGCGAGCTCGGCGAGCGGCAAAGCCCGCCGCCCGAAGCGCAGATCTCCCAGAAAGCAAGGCCTTCCCCTCCGTCTCAGGACCCGCCTCTCTAGGATTTAGGCGCGCTCCACTCTCCCTCCTAAATTGGCTCCGCCCCTCGCCTGGAGCCTCCGCGCTTGCGCCCTGCCCGCCGGCCGCGCTACGGACTTGGCGGGTCGGCGCTTGCGCACTAGGGGCCTGGCGGGTCCCTCCGGGCGGGGCGGGACAGGTGGCTGCGAGAGGACCGCCCTTGCCCTCGGGATGGCGCGCTGAGGCGAACCTCGGCACCGCTGGGCTCGGCGCCACCCGGGGGCTGAGGGCGCGGCCTAATCTCCAGTCCTTGCCGCAGCATTCTTTTGGGTTCTCAACCACGGGGAATCCTTATGAATGTTAATTGGTATTTTCGCTTTTCTGTGTTTTTTCTTTCCCTTCTAGGTTAAGCGCACAGCACACCTGTTTCCTCAGATAAGTCAAACTCCACACTTTTGGGGAGCCCTGGCTAGGTGGATATTTTTGTAGCAAGGGTGGGAGCGAATGTGTTAATTACTAAGTCTGATGGCGAGCAGAAGGGCGCCGCTAGTGATGCTGGGCATCGCACACCTTGAATTTGTTCCTAAATGGTGATCATACAACACCGGACTCGGTTTCAGAATATGGCGCCCTAAAGCCACAGGATGCTCGCTCGGAGAACGCCCACCCCCTCCTCTTGCCACTTCCCTCTTGCTTTTCTGTGAGAATATTTGACTTTCAGTTAGGGTTCCTTGCTGTCAATGACAGCTCCTGAGTAAGGCGGGGCCAAGACTAGGCTGAGTCATACAAGTGCGGCATGGATCGAGTTCTTGTCTAAATTTGTTTATTCCTAGTTTTCTGGCTTTTGACATTTGAAATGTTGCATAAAAGTAGTTGTGGATGGTGATGCTTACCAAAATCTTGGCAGCATTTTCTGTTTTGTACTTGAGAACTGAGCCTCTAACTATAATGGACGGAACAACAGTCTTTCTGGAAGTTTTTGTAATAATGAGAACGATACTGGCAATCAAAATTTTCAGTAAATGAAAATAGATAGTAAAACAAGTGGTAAAAGAACTGTAAACAGAGACGTCGTGGGTTGAGAATTTTGAATAGTCAGCTAAGTCTGAGTCTTTGCACCGATCTTGCAAAGCACTGCCTAAAAAGTGCCTGCAGCTCATCGAGCAAGGGAATCGGAAAAGTGAGAAGCTAGATCTTGGGTCTGCTGGAGATTTCCGTGTGAACTTGTACATTTCTTCTAATCGCACTGCATAGGGATTTCAGCTAATTTGCTGAGTGAATGTTAAAAATGCTGTCTGATCGGGTATGGTGGCACACACCTTTAATCCAAGCAATTGGGAGATCGAAAATTGAGTTCCAGGGCTACACAGAAAAACCGTGTCATGAAAAAGGAAAAATATTTTTTAAAAATGCTGTACAAGAGCGACGGTTGTGTAAAATATAAACACTAATGGAGAAGCGCGAACTGAGTACAGAGCGTTGGTGGACTGTGTGTACGTACAGTAATGGATATGGGCTTCAGAGGCAGCGGAGACCTCTTCAAATGCTGGCAGGGAAAGAAAAAGATTGTATTGGCTTGCCATTCTTAAATAATCTTAGCATTATTTTCACTTTATAATGATTGTGCTAAGAAGTCTTAAGTCAAATTTCCCTGTGATTAATAGGATTTCAGAGCTAGTCAAGAGGGTGCATGGACTTTTGATTCCTCCAGGACTAGGGGGAAGAATTCTTGAGGAACTGAGAAGGTGAAAAATCCACGTTACTTTAGGGAAGTCCAAGGTCAGGCAGTGGTGGTGCACATCTTTAATGGAAGCACTCTGGAGACAGACAGGTGGATCTTGGTGAGTTCAGGCAAGCCTGGTCTACAAAGTGAGTTCCAGGACAGCCAAGGCTACAAAGAGAAACTGTCTTGAAAAAACAAAAATTTCCTGTTTCAAAAAATAAGCATGTTGGAGCATCATCATCACAGCTGTCTAAAGAACATTTGCATCAATCATGCAAGGACTATGGATGACCCTGTCCTAAAAATATAATCTGTACTGCTGCTTTTTCAGAGAACCTAGGTTCGATTCCTAACACCCACTGGCTGTTCACAACTAACTGGAACCCCAGGGGATCAGATACTCTAATCTGGCATCCAGAGGTACCACATAGTGTACGGACACACATGCATCAAAAACACCCATACATATAAAAAACAGATTTAAGAAGTATTTTTAAAGGTAAAGTACTTTCCATAGAAGGGAAGGATTCTGTTTACGTTACCTGATTTCTGTATTAAATACTGTAGACAGCTTGAAAACCCTTGCTTATCATTAATGGTTTTGTACTACTCACTTTCCAGTAGAGTGAGACACTAAGTCCTCAGTATAAAGTGTACTGAAATATATAATTGTATATATATATGTTTATATATGTGTATATATATGTGTGTGTGTGTGTATGTATATATAAGATTAAGAGAAGCACATTCTCATTGTTCCTAAAAACTTAAGACTAAAGCTGATAACTAGAAAATCTGGGCAAGTGCCTCATAATTCCTTTATTATTTAGGCTAGAGGCTCCTAAATCCTAGTAGCAAGGAACAAACCCTCCCTATTTCAATAGGATTTTTTGCGACAACAGTACTAAGTCACAAGAAACAGTATTTAAAAGTTTCTGTACTCTGATAAACCTTTCCACCGAAGCAATAATCCAAATCAGACCAAATTATTTAATGGTATTTAATGAATACAAACGCTCCTAGATGGCTCTCCAGCCCCACAGAAAGGAAATGGGAAAGGAAGACCAGTTTATTCTCAGGGTGGGAGTGGTCTTGAACATCTCTGGGGAGGGGTCATCTTTTGGCTGGGTTTAGAATCTGGACTGAGGCAACTCACAGGGGAGGAGGGTTGGGATGGAACTTCCACCCAAACACTCCAGACTCGTTGGATATATGGATGCCAGGGGCTGTGGTGTGGCCTTAACCTAAACATTCCAAACTCTTTGGGAATTTGGATGTCAGGGGCTGGGTGACGCTTCCACCCAAACAGGTGTGGGCAAACTGACCAAGTCTCAAGTGTTAATATCCAAACAACTCACATAGTACCAAAATATCTAGTTTGATCTTCATAGATGAAAATCCAGTGCAATGTCTTGAAAATCAGGATCAGAGGTCTATGAAGGGTAAACCCACTGGATTATGTACATAGTTAGATCTTAGTTTGAGAAAGTCAGCTCCAACACATCTGGGGAAGAAGCAGAGAAATCTCAACTATTAGTTTTAAGTATTTGGGGTCTACCATGAATTGTGATGTGTGATAATTATGCTTAAGTAGTGCCAGTTGATATGTGTGAGAGTGAAATGTCTTGTTTGCAATTTATTTCAGACACTAAATGTATGAAAACATTATTGAAAATAATGACAGTGACTCTGGGTGTTTGACAGTTAAGACTTTAAACTTATTCAGAAGGGACGCTTAAAACCTTAGTTGTGAAGCTGACATACTTAATATCACACTGGCAACACCTGGGTTTTGAAGGGGACACATTCAAACTACAGCAGCCTTTCTTTGTGGTCAGTATGTGAAGCTTGTCGGCAGCAGGTGGTGGAGAAACACTGTAAGTAGGGCAGGACATTTTTCATTTCTCCTCTTCCATGGTACAGCCTCTAGGGAAACTCTTGGAAAGAAACCTTAATGGTCTATTTCACAGATCTGGCTTGCTGTTACCAGTGTATTTGGTAACACATTACTTTAGATCTTCTCAAGTTTTGGACGGCACTGACATTGAAATCAGTGAAATGTCAGTTAATCTACATTGCCCGTATGGTAGCATGTTTACCCAGCCAGGCTGAAGGCCTGAATAGAGAAAACCCAGCCTCCTCCAAACAAGAGAGCATTCCCCAGCAAACTTCCTCTGAAGTGAAGTGAACCATTGCCTCTTCTTGGTCTCCTCCCAGCTGATTCACACTGCAGATCTTGGACACAGAGTACTCTATGTGGGCATCCTTACAGTCCATCTCTGTAGATACATCCTACATCCTATCGGTTCTGTTTTTCTGGGAAACTGATACAGGAGCCCACCAGGCTTATTATTCAGGAAATTTTGTTCACATTTTAACAAGAGGTTTTCTGCTTACCACGCCCCATGAGCTTGAGGTACTCTGTTTGCAAGGTCCACATTCCCAGCTGCAGGGCAGTCCAGGAACCTTTGCACCACTGAGTGGGCTACACCATGCCCTGCAAGAGACCTGACTCTGGTGTAGACGGGAGCACCTTGTAATGGTGTCTTTACTCTAGGAACTTCATGTAGGCCATTCTCTCCCAGTCCCAATGTACCTGACTTTTATTGCTTGTTAATTTCACTGTCAGATTCTGTCTCTTTATATCGTAAAAACATAGATATTTCTGCTTAGTATTATGTCTAATTTTTTATAGAGTAGAGTCCAAGAAACTGTTAACTTACATTCCTCAAGAATACCGGTTAAGTACTTGCACACAAGGATTCGCTCTAGGATTTTCCTAGTCTATATAAAAAATAGCTTTATACAATAGCTTAGTCTTTTCTGGAAATTATTTCTACTAGAGATTCGTAATCCGCATAGTCCTTCAGTGACTGTATCATGCCATCCAGAAGATAGTCTCCTTGCATGAAGCTCTCAAGGTCATGTAGTGATTTATTTATTCTGTGGTCTGTGACCCTGTTCTGCGGAAAGTTGTATGTTCTTATTTTCTCTGATCTTCCTTTTGTTCCAACCTAAAGAAATAGGGAGAGAGAGAGAGAGATGAGACGCATGAGGATCCAGGAGCCTACAGCAACTCAAGAACCAAGTCTACGTCCCTGATTAATGGCACAGAGAACAGAGGTGGACTGTACAGACACAGTACCTGGGTCCTGCCTCTGCCCCTTCAATGCATTATGGCTGAAGTCTAAACTTTAAGTTTCCATCAGCAAAATACTGATGACATAATGGCGGGGTCGGCAAATGGGTGGTATTTAAACAGCAGAAGCAGCACATTCATGTGTACATTTTATGTGTATGTTATCCCGGAGTGATGATAAGGTGATGGGTGGTCATACTAGAGAAGTCATGGAAGGACTGTGTATGGCATAAAATCAAATACAAAACAGTAGGTTCACACTTCCAGTATTCCTGCTTCCAAAAACTCAAAGGACTAAAAGCTGAATAGGGACGCGGTCCACTCTGACAAAGCTAAGACAAACACCTTTGACTACAGAAAACAGGGTAAAGCTCTCCATAGGTACTGCCCTATAATACACACAAGAACAGTACTAATGTAAAAACTACACTACCCATAAACATTTTATAAGTGTTTCTGAAACTCATTCTTACCTGGATCTTTCTAGCATTGTATCTTTTTGCAGTTTCCTCCTCTAGATGCATGCTGTATAGCCTTGCACGTAACTTTTTCATAGCCAGCTCCCTGTTCTTCAGCTGAGATCTCTCTTGCTGGCATTCAGAAACAACACCTGAATAACGATATGAGAATTGGTTTTAGTATGAAAAAATCTTTATTATCAAGGATTATTCCTCTTCTTTCTTATCCCTTTTCTTCTTTTCTGAGATAAATCAAGAGTCTGATAAAAGACTTTAATATTTTTAATACAGACTTTCTTCACATCCTCAGCTAGCTATCAAAATCTTAAAAGGCGTATAAAAATGGAAGTATATAGAAGTACAAATCCTAGTATTAGAGTTAACAGAATATAGCTGAGGATTTCCTTTTTATCTATTTGTATTTATACATCCCACTTATCACCTCAATATTTAATGGTTTTCTGTAGTTACAAGGACAAAATCCTACCTGCCCACCAGTCTTCTTAACTACTGGTCAACAGGAACTACGACAATTTGTTCTAGTTAAGGGACGTCTGAAATGTATAAACCAGGCATCCTTGCCCCCTCACAAGCCACTCCAGTACTCTAGTAATACTTCAAAAGCATGGTTCTGCTCAGCAGAGTACAGTCGTTTGCCCAGCTATTTAGATTCAGATTGCCATGGACTTTACAGTCTTAGAACATTTTCTGTTAAATAATTTAGGGAATTATCTCACTGAGGGTTTTTTGGAAATAGTGATATCTATTAAGTATTTGAACCCCCTCCCCCCGGCAGGTGGCAGGACTCTTCTCTTCATCGTCACTACCATGGAAAGCCCTGTGTTTAGCCTTCCCTCTCCCTCTCCTTGACTCTGTATCCTACACAGCATCAACTGCGGAACCTACAAGTCATTAGTTAAGAGCCCTTAATGGTTTCTTTTCTTTGGGAACTGAAGATCTGCTTCAGTGGAAAAATCAGTCAGTCCCCCAGAAACTGATCTTGATTCAGAGTTTCCCGTGAAAGCCCAGCACCTACCTGTGGGAAGATGGACGCCCAGCACCTACCTGTGGGAAGATGGACAATTCGAACAGCGCTGTCGGTGGTGTTCACGTGCTGACCTCCAGCTCCACTGGCTCTCTTAGTGTCAATTCTCAGATCTTTAGGATTAATCACCAGCTTAATCTATACACATAAAGAAAAGCTGCAATTTTAAGAAGCAATTGTATGTACTAACTGTCTTCAGGTGAGACCTACACACTGTTAAATACATGCCATACATAAATCACAAAACATTTAAAGCAGTTTAAAAATAGACCATGATTAGGATATCATTAAATGGTTTTTTTTTTTCTTCTTTGAATGGAGGGAACAAAAGCAACACTCCCTAATCCTCAAAAACTGAGCTTTTTCCTCACAAATGATGCAGTTGAGGACAGTAAAAATAGGAGATTCAGGGTTGAAGAGATGGCTCCGTGGTAAAGAGCCTGTGCTGCCCGTATGGAGGACCTGAGTTTAGTCAACACATCAGGTGGCACAGCCTCCTTTAATTTCAGCTCCAGTGGATTCGTGCCCTCTTCTGGCCTCCATGGGCCACATATACATAGTTCTACACGCACAAACAATTTTTTAAAAAAGTAGAAAATGTAGTATTTTACTGAATTCAAAAACTTTAGCAGATGAAATAAAAAATAATAGCAGTTTGGGTTCATAAAACTGTTTTAGGGAGAGAGGAGATGCCATTTCTAAAACGTTACACCTATAATTTAGAGGCAAAGATCATGAAGGCAGGGTATGCATTCCATGAACACTGGAATCAAACAGGATGACTCACTCCCAGGAGATAACATCAGAAGCACCATGGTTAAAACTATCTGCCCAGTGAGCAACTAGAGACTGCTCTATGGCGTGTCAATCATCCTGCAGTAAGATAACGCCCTTCAGAGTTGCTAGGAAAGCTACACAGAGCCTGGCCCTCACTCCCAGATCCTGGAAGCTATCAGGATTCCTGACAGCAACTCTGCTGCCCGCCCTCACTCACTCTTCTCACAGATATTAAACCAAGGAAGGAAAGCCTTTCAACCCTATCAGACATCTAAGTAGTACTATTTCTTAAAAATAACAGGAAGACACCCTCAACTCATTTATCTCTCATTTTTAAGTGAATTAATTTGCCACTTTTAGCAGAAGACAAATTAACAAAGCAGGCTATTGTCTTACACACTGAGAACTTGCTTTGTGAGGAAAGACCCACACTCAGGCCCCTTCTACTACAGCTGAGTCAGAAGGTAGCAAGTGTGCTGAGTGACTAGTTCTTTCCTGATGGCATCTGGAGAACCCACCCTGCAATGTAGGGAGGCAGGCAATCAGTTCACAGTATTACCTGACCCATGATGGGGGTGTACAATGCCCTTTACTGCTGGAGAAAAATTCTGGCATAAATCTGGACAATCTATACATATTTTTATTCTTACCCTCTGTTGTAAAATTACATTTCTTGGAGCAAATTTTCAAAAGTAACTCAAAATATGAAAGGAGGACCAAATGACAAGGTGACAGTGGCGGGGAGCGCCCTGCGCGAGCTCCGTTCCTGTGCTTTACCTCAGCAGGCTGGGGCAGAATCGCCACTGTCATGGTGCTGGTGTGGATGCGGCCTTGCTTCTCTGTCCTCGGCACTCTCTGCACTCTGTGCACCCCTCCTTCAAATTTCATGTGCTTGTAGGCTTCCAGGCCTCCAATGCTGGCTGACGCATGCCTAAGGCCACCTTGACAACAGGGAGAGCGGAGTCCTTTTTACCGTTCTGCCATGCATTGTTTAAACTGACCATCACATGTATTCTCATGAAATACAGTTGAAAGAGCCTCAAGCTAATAATAGAGAGTACAGCACATTGAAAAACTTTAGCAAGTCTTTGATATCTGGTGTTTCAAAATATAATCTTGAATTTTTAAAAAGATTTATTTAATTTTATGTCTGAGTGTTGTATCTGTAAATGTTATGTGTGTGTAACACATGTGAGCCAGGTGCATGCGGAGTCAGAAGGCAGCATCAGATCTATCAGAGATGATTTATGGGTGGTTGTGAGCTACCGTGCGGGCGCTTAGAACTGAATTTAAGTCCTCTGCACTTAAATTCAGGTGCTCTTCACTACTGGGCCAGCTTCCCAGCATCTTAACACATAACTGTTTCTGTTCAGTTGTTAAACTACAACACCGCTGAATCCACATCAGTAATAGCTAAAAGACCACCGTTTTTGGTTTCTTTTTGAAACAGGTTCTCCTGTAGCCAAGGCTAGTCCTGAACAGTGTAACTCTTCTGCCTCAGCCTCTTGTGTGCTAAGATTACGGATGTGAGGCCAGAGTACCCTACAACCTCTTTTCAAAGTGGTAAGTGATTATCATGGAATAGTTTTCCATCATACTTTACAGCAAGCTTCAAAACTCTATTTTTATTTAAAATCATTAGGTAAATAATTTAGTCCTTACAAATAAGTTCTGATCATCATCTTGCCTTTCTGGGACACACTGTAGATAAATCGATGCTTTACAAAAACAAATCCACCCACTTAACAACTGCGCTGTTTAAAATCATCTAGGAAGCAACTTCACCTGAGAAATGAGTGCACACTGACCTGTAGGGAAGTCTGTGAGCTCTTCTCTTGATTGATGACTGACGTGCGAGGGGCACTTGATGAGGCAGAGTGGTGCTACCCCTGGGCGAATGGTCTTGGGTGTATAAAAAAAGCAGGCTAAGCAGCCGGAGGGAACAAGCCAGTGAGCACTTTTCCTCCATGCCTGTGTTCCTGGAGTCCCTGCCCTGACTTCCCTTCACGGTACTGTAAACTGAAGGATGAAACAAATCCTGTCCTCCCCAAGCTGCTTTTGGTCATGGTGTTTATCACAGCCACAGGAACCTAACTGAGAGACTGACCTAGTTCACTTGAGAAATATTCCAGCGTTTCAAAGTGCCATCTTTTAAATGCCGCATACTGCTGGTACATGGCAAACATCTCAGAGGTGAAAAGCATGGCTTCCTGGCCGCCCACACCTGCAGTCACCTCCAGGATCAGGTCACTCTCGTCTGTTTCTTCTGGAGGAACCAAAAGGGAGATGATCTGTAGATACAAAGACAGCACCTTCCTGTAACTAAGAAATCCTTCAACTAATGCCCAAAGCTACGAAATTGGAGAATTTAGATATGTAACCTAAGTTTCTTTAAACAACTCATCTAATTGCTCTTCCATACAGTTTGATCAGCTTGCTAGCTAAAAACGTATACTGCATAACTTCCATTAAGGTATTAATTTTCAGTTACATTTTAAATATTATAAAATGCATCTACTTTGATGGGTTTGTTTTTATTTCTTCTTGGAATTCTCTCTTGTGTTTTGGATGCCCCTGCCTCCACCTCCTCAGTGCTGGGAATACAGGTGTGCACCACACCAGATTTTATGTGGTGCTGAGGACTGAACGCAAGGCCTCATGATGCTGGACAAACACCCCAATAACTGTACCGCGCCCCAAGCCCCACTTTGGAAATCTTACATGCTTTCTATCAATTCCCTATTCAGGTAATTCAGAATTAAATGCTGGGAGCAGGACATTACACCACAAGTAGAATGTAAAAGAAATTCTCCTCTGTTGAAACACAAGCCTAAGAAGGAAGGCAAACCGGTCCTCATCTTGCATTTGCCAATTACGCTTCCTTAACACGGGAGGGAAAACTTTTGATTTTGGAAGTTTAGGAATGGCACTCTGTCAATACTGAGATAAAAGCCACATTCTCATCCTGGGGAATCTTTCCTATCTACTGTCCACACACAATGAAAAGAAAAAAAAGCAGAAGCAGATTTGTCTTTTGAACATATCTTTTTGCCTTTGCCTTCCCAGTAAGAGCTGATAACTGAATTTCTCAGTGAGACCTGTACTCTTGTAGCGTGAAAAATGTGGGAAATAGGAAGCACGTCTTTTTCCGCTTTAGAATCTCCTTTGACCTTGGCAATCCCTTCATGGAATGTGCATACTAGAAAACATCACATTGGAGGCCTCCAGTTTGTCACTTGAAAGCCAGCAAGACAGACAAGAGCTAAAGAAGTCTAGACTTGGAGAGATGGAAATAGCTCAGTGGCTAAGAACAATGACTACTTTTCCAGAGGACCTGGGTTCAGTTCCAGAACCTACTTCACGCAATTTACAATCTGTAACTCCATTTCCAAGGGATATGACACCTTCCTCTGGCCTCCAACCGCATCAGACAGGTTTGTGGCACACAAACACACTTGCAGACAAATATTCATAGAAAAATACAGAAAAGACAGCAACAACAGCCTGCTCTATCTAAACAGATAGTAGTAACAGGCTACTTCTCTGGACTCTTATAAGCCTGCGATGAAACATGTAAGGAATAAGGGCAGAGATGCTTTACTCTTTGTGTACATACCATACCTGATGCTTCAGCTGAGTTATTTCTTCTCGACACAGAGCTATCTCACTTTCTGCAAGTTTCTTCAACTCTTCATTCTCATCTAGGAAGAAGAGCAACAGTTATGTTTGTCTTAATTAGTGCTGAATTCACCTCCATGGAAGTCATGATAACAGACTTTAAGAGAGAAAAAAAAAACCCTAAGGGATGGAGAAACGGCTCAGCAATTAAGAGCACTTGCTATTCTTGCAGAGGACCTAGGTTCAGTTCCCAGTTCTCAGATGCCGACTCACAACCATCTCTAATTCTAGCTCCAGGGATCTGACACTCTCTTCTTATTTTCGTGGGCACCAGGCAAGCATGTGGTACACATGTATACACACAGGCAAAATACTCATACATATAAAGTTAAATTTTAAAAATGTTTACTGGTTTTATTTGATATGTATGAGTATTTGCCTGCATGTATGTATGTGCCACAGTGTATGCTGTGCCCACAGACTGGGGTGCTGGACCACCTATGGCTGCAGTTACAGACAGCCGGAAGCTGCTGCATGGGTGCAGGGCACACAATCTGGGTCCTCTGCAAGGGCAGTAAGTGATCTCCACAGTTGTGCTTTCGCTCCAGCCCCAGTAAGTAGACTCCATTTACCAAGTTAGGCTTTACAATACCAAATAGATGCATTTAACTAGTTAGAATACCCAGGAGAGGCACAAAAGGTTTTAACAGCTAAGCCAAAATTGAAAACTACAGTCCAAAGTTAGTCTTAGTGAACATTTCCTTCAGATGAAATAAGCATGTGACCCAAAGCATTGCTGGAGTCTGTCCGGTGTTTACACAGGATATTCCTTCCATCCCTGCTTTCATAATTATTTTATCTTTGGGTTCTCACTTGTGACTTAGAGATCCACTTTCTCATTCCTGTTGCTCTGTTCTATGGACATATGCAGCCTAGGAAAGGGGATTACAAACTGTTTGCTCTCTGAAACATCAAACATACACACAGTTTAAGAGTGCACGCTTATCTATGAAGAATCTACATTGATGGGAAGTGTGACAGTACACAAGCAGGGCCTTCCGAAGGGCAACACTGTAGCTCTAAGTTCTGGGGCTTCTCACTTTGGAAGGTTTGGTTCTTTCCAATTCTTTAAGCAATTATTCATTGTGAACTCCAGTACTCTCGATAACTAGAAGTTATTTTTGGATTTCCTGATTACACAAATCAGACTTCTAATTAAAATTCTCTTTGGTAAAACTGCCAGATTTAAAGGTGTTTTTCAATGTAAGCTGGAAAAGGTGAGTTCATCCTAAGTCAGGTGCCGGCACGATCTTGTTTCACGTAAGTAACTGGTTTCTATAGATTCAGTTAGTGAATTCTTTCCGAGTCCCAGATGTCGGTGCTGAGAACTCGGATTTCCTGGTCTAGGATTCTAACTATACAGTACATAGCACCTCACACTAACGGGTGAGTACCATGAAGTCACCGGGCTGCAGAGCCTGTCGCAGGCACTACTATCTTGTCTTTCTGAGCTGCCAGAAGAGTAGGGAAGACAACCGAGAACCTGAGTAGCTTCTGAGGACAGACCGGCGGAGCACCGAGTCAAGGGATCCCTGCCGAGCCTGCCAGAGGCCATCAGAACCCCAGTGACGAGGTCTGGAACTCGGGTGGCTTCAAACGCGCTGCAGCGGGCGGCTTACCGTGCAGTAAGGACTCGGTGTCCCGCAACTCCCGCTCCTTCTCGCTGAGCAGCCGAGCCGCCGCCGCCAGCTGAGGCTCCCTGGCGTCCAGAATCCCGGCCTCCGAGCACGCACGGCGCTCCAGGAAGGCCCGGAGAGGCCCTTCGCGGGCGAAGAGCTCCTCGGGCGGCGGCGCAGTGCGGCTGAAGGCGCGGAGGGCCCACAGGCGCCGGGCACCGCTCAGGAACCCGCTCCGCATCCCGGCCGACCAGCACCCCGGGGCCGAAGCAACCCAAGACTCTCGGGAGGACTCGGAACCCGGCTTTCAAGCCAGCTCTTAAAAACTCCGCCGGAAATGTTGCGAGAACTTCCGGCAAAGTATGGGAAAGCCGCTAGGTTTCTAAAGACCAAAAGGTAAAGGGGCGGTGCGATCACAGGACGTTTGCCCCGCCTCCAACCCGAGCTATGACTCCTGGGCCCTGCCCAGGGGGAGGGACTCCAAACCCTAGGCCCCGCCTCCAAGGGGGTTGGGAGCTCCAAGGCCTGGGTCCCGCCCCTCCAGGGAGCGAGTAGAAGCTGGGCATCCTCGGCCCCGCCTCAAGTCTAGACCGGTCCTCCAAATGGAGTGCTCCAATGCCTCGGCCTCACATTCAGAGAGGAAGCTCGACTTCCTCGGCCCGGCCTCCAAGTGGGATTCCGCGATGCAACGGCCCGGCCTCCAAGTGGGATGCTGCGATGCAACGCCCCGACCTCCAGAAGGGGCGCTCCAATGCCTCAGCCCCGCCTCCGAGGGGTGGGGAAAGAGCGGCTTCCTCGGCCCCGCCTCCGAGGGGGAGGCTCCGTCGCCTCGGCCCGGCCTCCAGGGGTGGAGCGCCATTGCGTCTACACCGCCCGGACCGGGAAGCGCCTAGGCCTCGGCCCTATCTCCGAGAGGGGAGCTCCGAAGCCTCGGCCCCGCGTGCATGGGGAGAGCTCCGCCGCCTGAGCATAATTTCCATGGGCAGAGACCCGCCGTCTGGGCTAGACCAGCAGGGGCAGAGCTCAGCTGCCTAGGCTGGATCTCCGGGAGGCATGAGTAGCGCCAATTCCTCGGCCCCGCCTTCGGGGAAGGGCTGCAGAGCTTCAGCTCCGCCCACGGGGAGGGAAATTCAGCCGCCTAGGTCCCGCCTCCGGGGGAGGGCTCCAGAGCCTCAGCTCCGCCTACAGGGCGAGGAAATTCAGACGCCTCGGCCCCGCCTCCGGGGGAGGGCTCCAGAGCCTCAGCCCGCCCCACGGGGGGGAGGGAATTCAGACGCCTAGGCCCCGCCTCCGGGGAGGGCTCCAGAGCCTCAGCTCCGCCTCCAGGCGGAATTCAGACGCCTCGGCCCCGCCTCCAGTCGAGGCTCCGGCCTCGACCCCGCCCCCATGCCAACTCGGAAGCCTTGACCCCGCCTCCAGTCTGATCTTGGACGCGCCCCCAGGCCAGTTCCAGGGGGGGACAAGCCTGAAGTTAACTGAGGCAATGTCTTTGGCATTCGACAGTGAGGTTTTGCTTCCCTAGTCTGCGCGGGTACTTGAAGAACCTGTGGATAGTCAAGTACCCTGCAGACGCAGAGGTACAGCCACGGAGGTCATCTGTCCCCAATCTCTAAGAGTGACTTTTAAAATGGCCATCAGTGTTTTCTCCTCTTCTTTTGCCTGCTCTAAATTTTCTGACAAATGAGTTAGATTAGTTCTCAAGGCAGGTGTAACCTACAACGACTTCCTAGTGATGCTATCGTCACCGATCACAGCTTTCTCACGGTTTACTGTCTCACATTCGGGTCCATTCAGTCCAGCTCTCTATTGCTCTTTCCCTCTCTTGCTCTTGGCCCACCCTCCCACTCCTGCAAATCCGTGTTAAAACTAACAAACTGCAACGCAAGGAAGCCTTCCTTCCTTCTGTTCTGGAGTTGTTCCTCACAGGGGAAGGACTCGCTTAGCTTGCTCAAGGCTTAGTCTCCAGCCCTGCAAAGAAAATATCAAAGACCTGCTTCTGGTATCCATCCCATCCTAACTGCTAACTGAAGCATTTGCAACTTCAAAAGACTTAACCACAGCCCACCTGAGAAGTGGGTACCGGAAGTGGGTAAATACAGCCAAGCCATTCTTGGGAAAGCAGGGATTGAAGCTACAGGATTACTAGTTGTTGTTGTTTTTATTTTTTATGTATGTATATATATATATACATACATATATATATATGATTGTGGCTCATTGCTGAACAAGCTATTCTCGTTGTAAAATAAAATGGTAAAGAATGGGTACTCTTAAGGTGAAAAAATTAAAACTATTAATTACAAAACTAAAAAAAAATGAATTTTGCATCATATCTCATCAATCCTTAAAATCAAATACAAAGGTACTGAAGTGAAGAAATAAAGTGTCCCTTCAAATAACTGCAAGCAATTCCAGTACCTCAACTTTCCCTCATCCTTGTGTATTCAAGCGACACCCTGTAAATGTTTAGCTGTAAAATGGAGGCTGAGAGCCCGTTTTGTTTTGATTCTGACCTGAGTACAGAAAAGTATTATCACATGGTTTTCTATTAGGAAAAGTTCTTTCTAACTCTAAACTCAAATTTGAAGTGATTTTTTTTTTCTGCCTTAGAAATCATGGTGAGAGTACTTTGAATTCAGCGTCAGAAATCCTCCACTGCTCCCTCCAAGGTGTCAGTTCATTTAAGACTAATCTAAGGTTCCATCACGGCATGAAGAATCCACAGTCATTCTACTCAGATAGCCGTACACCAATGAGCAAACAATAACTTGTCTACATGTATACATGGGAGAATTCTTTATTAATTCAAAACAGTTTAAGAAAATCGGTATAATGCATATGCACTTTACAATAATAGCCATAAATCTCCACAATATAGTTAAATGAAAACACTTGTTATTTGATTTACTTTAAAAACTCAGATACACTTAGAGACTTCTGAGTTTTCTTACAGTATTGTCATGCTCAAATCTATTACATGGTAAAAACTGTAGCACTTCCAGGAAGTCTATTACTGTACACAGGTAAATGATAAAATCTACTCAGTGGAATAAAATCCCAGAAAAACAAACTACAAGAAAAAGAATCTGGATTATCTATTCGGTTATGAGTACCCATAGTTATTTTGGTATTGTGAAATAGCCAAGCATGGTTACTCTTGTATTCATGTCGTCAGAAATTGTGGGTGGTTTACTAATAATACAAATATGGAAATAGATTACTAAATAGAATGAGCATGGAAGTAAGAAATTGTACATGTTCAAAATGATAAATTTCACAGAATCAAATTCATTAAAATACTTTTTAGTATTTTGCAAACTCTTTAAAACCATACACAAGAAACACTGTGACAAACAGGTTAAAGCTAGAGGGACAACATCAAGTCTTCCACACCACTTCAGCGCTGTGTACACTGCTCAGTGGATAGTATAGAGGAAGGCATTAAACATGAGTAATAAATAACCTCTTGCTACAATTAATGAGACTAAAATCTTTGACTCCAGCATATGCACAGAATCTAAGTAAGTTCGCAGGGTGTGTCGGGGAGAGGGGAACTGGTCGCACTTTCACTAAGTGAATATTCATGCTAACACTGGTTTGGAATTTGACCCATTTCGCTTCCTGATTCATTGCACTTTCTTGATAGTATTTGTTAGTGACCCTTTAATGAAACCTAGTATTAGTGCTAAGAAGTCTGACAGAATTGTTTGTTTTCCTTGCTCAATGTAAACGCAGAATCCATTTGCCTCTAAGACACCCTCTTTGCACATGTGCTACTTGTCAGCAGAGAGCCGGCCCTTTCATGGTATGCTTTAATCAGGTGAGAGGAGAAAGATGACAACAAGAGGAGCCCAAAGCAAGAGCAGTTAGCCTGCTGGCATGTGCCTTTGATATCATGTAATAAACGTGGCACTATTCAGGGCTGGACAGGTGGCTCAGCCGGTAAGAGCACTTGCTGCTCTTGCAGAGGACCCTGATTCCGTTCCCAGCACACACCTAGGGACTCAAAACCGTATGTAGCTCCAATTCCTGGGGACGCTTCTGGCCGCTGAGGCATTGCATGTCACACCCACACACGCAGACAAAATACTCATACACATAAAGCCAAAGTAAATCTTTACAATAGCAAGAAAAGAATAACACGATTCCTTCCAGAAACCAAACACTCCTTCTAAACACGAGGAAAGTAGGCAGAGCCCAGCAGAGAGATGCTCTGCACAACACATATGTGCCTCTTCTCAAAACTGTCACGGTTCTGCAAAATAAAAGAGCATTTCTAGAAAGTCACAGCTGAAAAGACAGGAGGAAAGGTAACAAACGGCTTGTGGTTACCGGAGGGAGGGGCAGAGAAAAGACACTAGGTGAAACATCTGGATATTGGAGTGGAGTTCAGACTCAGTGAGCTAATGTTACTCTTTTAGCTGTGACTAAGGGCTTCCCAGAGGGGTAGGGCATGAGGCCCTTCTTCACTACCTTTGTGAATTTTCTATAATGCTGACAATATTCTAAACTCTGATGAGAGTCTTAATGAACCCATAGCCACTTTCATTAATTTCTCTATAACACTGAGAATAGTCTAAAATCTGATGAAAAACTTCTTGTATACATAAGCACTTTCATTAATGTTTTCTATTCACAGATGCGTGATAGAATTGACAAAATCACGCTAATATTAAGAAATATTTTTGTAATGGTGCTTTACGAAATTACATTATCTCTATCACTAATTGACATAGTTGGAATATTGCTAACTAACTTGATTTTATATTATTACTATCCTTGGGAATATTCATTTTACTTCCTATGTTTCCACCTTGGTATGTGTGAGTGTATGTGCATGCAGGCATGTGTGTGCCCACGTGTGTGTGCATGTTCATATTTATATTTTTCAAGTATGTTTCAAGTAATCAAGGGAAGTAGAGGGCACAGGGAAAGTCAGTGGGTAATAAATGAGAACAAGATGTAACAAAGATCTCTATGAAAATGTCATAATGAAACCTTTTTTGTACGCTAACCTAAAAACTTAAAGGAAAAATTTTGGGGAAAGTACATTAAAATGACATTGACTCCATACCTTCCTAAAAAAAAAAAAATGTGACTATTACTGGCCTGAAGAACTCTGATCAATTATCATATGCAACATCATTGTTCCCATGGCTACCCCATAATTAATTTTCTTCACTTTCAGATAAAGAGACAGATTCAGACAAGATAATGGCTTTTCTACCATCTCTGGATATAAATGCCACTTGAAATCAGCTTAGTCATTTCAGAAGGAACTGTGCCCAAACCTAAGAGAGGGCATTTGATTATCGTTCTAAAACACGCATCTCTAGCTACTTAAAACCTGAAATGCTGCAATAAAGGGCTAAATCCGCAGGAAAATTTGCATCCAGAAACATTTAGTACAAAGACGTGCCGGGGAACTGAATTTCAGATTGCACACATAACATTAAAAAATTGCCTTTGGTCATCACTGTCTGCTCGCGATAACGGCTTTCCCCAACTGGTAGCTGCTGTCACAAGAACCGAACAAGCCTCCAGCCCCATTTGCCCAGTTGAGGCAGCCCTGCTCCTCGGCGTTTTCCCTGGGATGATGGTCTGGAATATTCACTCAAACTGGTGGGGACGCGTGTCACTTATGGCTGTTCAGGACGAGTTCTATCTGTAAGAGTAATATTTTTTTTTTTAACCTAGGCAGAAACCAAAGTTTGTTGTTGGGAACTAATACTTTTCCATGCCCTGTGTGTTGCAATAATAGGATAATCTGGAGGGAGGTTTGGGATGTTTTAGTGGTAAATGTTTACAGTTGTGGCAAGTGAAGAATTACTAAAATTATTACACGTGTTACACTCCTTTCTAAGGATGGCATAGTATATTGACCAGAAATTTAAAAACAGAAAAACAATACTCAAATACTTGAAAAACATACTTTGGTGGTTGGTCATTAACTGGCAATATAAACAGATAGGCAAGCCAATCTTTCGACATTCTTTCTGATTTCAAAATAATATGCTAATATGTAAAGCTTAACGAATTCAGAATTCATGTTATGTCAGGTTCTAGTTATATCTTCTAGCTGTTTAAAAACAAATTGGTGGTTTTTCAAAACGTTCTTTCCCTAAGGTTTATTTTAAATTCATCCCAGTTAAAAATCTTTACCAAAGCACCCAATAGGTTTTATTTGTTATGAGTGTATTTCCCACAATCACCATGCTATTTTTTCCAAGAAAATTAAAGAATTACAAAAAAAAAGAATAGACTTAAATCAAGATTCAAGTATTATTTTAAATCAGCACAATAGGGGAGGGCATGTACCTGTTTTCAATAAACAAGACTTTATCTACTCGTTTTACACTGAACTATCAAATAAATAAAGCACATACTTCCTACTCGGAGGCACTGGAAAGCACTAATAAGCGTTCTGGCTATTACCACTGTTAGAACTGCTCACATCTAAGCAGTATATGATTTTTTAAGGGTTATATTAGAATTTTGACTTTTGCACTTCATATTTTCAGTATCAAAGTCCTGTTTTGCTTATATCCACGTGCGCCTTGTCATACTGTCAGAACATCTGTGAGAACCATAGATAACATCATGATAAGCCAGAAAAAGAAGAGTCCTCCATCCAGTGTTAGCATGCCTGTGTGAAAGGTCCACCTCTGAGGACCTCTGTCTTCAAGACGCCTCTCTATATAGCATCTGCACCATCGACGCTTCTCTCCATAGCAGACATGCCGATAGATAGGTACTGCAGAAAGTGCATTCACTTCCTCTGTGTGCACTAGCAGATTCTAACAGACGACGTCATCTTGGCAATCTAAAACACAAGGTGCTTCATTTTAAAGTGCTAGTATTTCCCCAGGGAGCTATGTACTCACTAGGAATGAAATCGAACTTGAATAAAGCGAGTGAGCTCTTGAAACGGTGGCAGGGACACGAGTGGAGGGCTTTTGTTGGTTTATTATATCTCTGTGATTTAAACAGAAGACATCATACTGTACCTTAAAAACCACAGACACACTCTTCCAAACCTGAAACATTCTGAAATGAAATAAGGAACCCTCCCCCTGAAATCGGATTTTAGCACAAAACTGCACACACGCCATGACACGGATTGTGCAAATGTGCCCTAGAACTTTCTCGATGAAACTTCTTAACCCGGGTTCCAAAAAGACACAGCAACTTTGCAATGCAAACATAGCAAATGCCCAGGTTAGAAATGAGGACTCCTTACGAAGGCCCTTAACTTTTACATTTGGTAAAATATTCGATGCATTGTCAAGCAGACAATTCCCCTAATAGTCCAGAGCATCTTGTAAAGATAATCCAAGATAGTAAGTCACCAGCATCCACAGTAACAACAGGTTTATAAAGGCTACATCGAAAACAACTTTGCATGCAGGGCGTCATAGTATATTACATATCTCCTGGTACGCGCACCAATGCATTGTGCCTCAAACACAGAAACACATATGATGCCATACTATAAACGTGTACACATCACAGTAGCGTAAGAAACAGTAATCAAGAAAAGAGTTAAATGATTTAGATGAAGGGACTTCACAGTAGAAGCGACGATGCTCTTTGTAAGCTTTCTTGACTCTTTAGGAAAAAAAAATAGGATTTTTTTTTTGTAAACATCTTCATAACTATCTTTTTCTCAACATATTACTGAAGCTACACAAATAGTAAATATCTAGGAAACATGGATAAAGCACATCTTAAATACACTAACACTTTCAGAAAAAAACACAGGCATTTGTTAAAAGATGACTATTATAAATATTTTCTATCTGCATCTTCACTATGTCTACATAAATAATGTATTTAAAAGTGCTGAACACGGTAGGATAGTCAGCGCCGCCAGTGTAAACACAGCATTTTGTTTTCTACTCTGCAATTGTTTTTAAAATCCCATTTTGTCAAACACTGCAACAGTTAAAATATTTGCATAGGGAATAGGTAATAGCCCTTTTAATCATAGCTCCTGAATTCTATATAAGTTAGAAAATCATACTCATTTAAAAAAACAAGTCTTAAAATGCTTTAAATTTATGGAAAAAGAAACATGATGCCAACCTGTCAAGTAAAACAAATTTAAAAAGAAAACTCCAAACTTTTCTTTTTAAAAAAATATGTTTAATAAATTAAAAAAATGAGAGGTAGTTAAAAAAATGACAAATAAAACCTATAATTTTAATATCATCCTTAATATAAGGCCAGTATTCTCAGTGGATATAAATCTTTTTAAATCTTCCATTTTTTTAGATTACTCAACATTATATTCATTGAGTTTAAGATTAAAAAAATAGTCTCCAGGGGATATTGATATTGAAAGATAAGACCTTGATATAAATATGACATTGGTTGTAACTTTGGATTTGTGCACAATATGACCGTTCTGAAGGTCAGAAATGCATGCCAAGGTCAGGTGAGTATTTCATGTAAAGAGATGGTGTAATTACAAAAAATAACATTGGCAGCTAAAGAATTTGAGCACTGTACTGCCTTTTAATTGTGGGTGAGGGTTAGTAGTTTGTTTTGAACAATGTTAAAATAAGTCTTTCTTGAGATACCACATGAAAACCGTTAAGGTCTGACTTCCAAAGTTTTCATCTTCATAACCCCTTGTAAAATGTTGCTTAGGAAAAACTTAAGCTTTTCACTGGATTATATGTCCCAGGCAAATACGCCACATGCCAGACGCAGTTCCTCAGATGCCTTTCACAGTGCTGCATGTAGGCATTCCCTACTAAATCTTTTCCTTCATAGCCCCACACTGGATTATCAAGCATCCTATTGTTTTCTTGCTGACATACATACGTTTACACAACTATTTTAGAACTGGAGAGCCATTCTTTAATAAATTAATTACAGTATCGGACATTTGATATATACATACTCATTTCTTCTTTCATACCTAAAAACAGTATCACTCTCGGATTTTTTCAGCGAGATAGGATATCTTCAGATTGTTTTGTGCTTTTTAAAATATTTTTTATCATTGTTAGATTTTTGTTGCTGTTTTATTTTCTTTTCTTTTAAACATAGCAAATTCTTCTGTAATGAAAATGCCGGAGTTTGGGCAGTGAACAACCAGAGGACTCTCAGACCAAGATCCCGTCAACAGGCAGAGATATACAGCTACTTTTTCTTTCCATGTACAGAAAAATTGGCTTCAAAGTCCATGTACTAAACATAGTATGTAGCATGGTTAACTATCACAGTTGCATGTTTAAAATAGCTTTTTTGTATCAGATTAGGCTTAAAAAATGCAAACCACAGCCAATTTGTTGGCAATTGTTTCTAAGAGACCATATTGCACAAAAGTCCTGAAATACATAGATAAGGTACACTACAGATTAAATAGTACAACTAAGTGGCAAACAAAGCTGTTGTACTTTGCACATGCGGCCTCTGGAGATGCAGTAGGAGACGGTTCAGAGGACTAGGAACACAGTTTGCTTGCAAGTAGAACAAGTGTTGAATCAGACAAGCTTAATTTGGCAATTCATTGTCTTATATAGGCTTTCCTCCACCCAGAATCATGGATAACCTTGATAACAATGGAGACAAAGACCTTCACGGCTGTCTCTTGCCAGCATCCCGAGGGTGCCGACCTGTAGTTCTCCAGGAACTCAATTTCTGATGTCATTTACCTACTCACATTTCCCATCCCAGCCCTCTGAAATGATTACTTTTTTTTTTTTTTGGCCTTTCAAACGAAAATTAAGATTCAGAAGAGGAGGTGGCAGTACTTTCAACAAAAGTTTTATAGATTTGCGAGTTCAGGAATCTGGGGAAGGAATCCCTGTGCATTAGGGTGTAGATCTGCAGCTGGGCATCTTCGTACATGTGAGGGCTGGGGTCCAGCAGGTTCCTGTTGATCACCTCCCTAACTCGGGAATCCAGGCTGACCTGAAACGGAACAGAACCAGGTATGTCCGGGTGGTTTGCAAACGACTTCTCAGAGAGACTTCATCGGTTAAGTCGGACACCCAGAACCCCAGATACTGTCCTTTCAAAGACTAAATATTTGTGATTTCCCCCCTTTTAATGGTAAATTAAACAACAGGAAAAAGGAAAAAGGAAGGAGAAGAAGAAGAGAAAAAAAATGGTTGACAGCTATCTTGGCATCTTTGTGTTTATCTTCTCCATGCAACATTGTGTAGCAGAGACTAATCAGAATATTATTCACACCCTTCATTCCTTCGATTGCTACGGTGAATCTGCTGACAACTAGGTACACATCTGAAAAGAGTTCTCCAACCACACTCAACACACATATCACATAAGGCACTCATTAGTTTCATATTCCAATGAAAGGGTAAGGCAGAAACAGAAGTAGGTCTAAAGTCCTAGGAAACATCTTTAAAAGATCTCTACCAAACAGACACTAGGGTAATGAAGCATAATATTTAATAAAATAATCTTAGGAATTCGGAATACTTACTAAAATTACCAATGCAGTGTTGCTTTGTAAGTATTCAGAAATTAAATTCTATTAAAAAAGAACACCCAGTAAGCCATCGTGTGGCCCATTACTGAACAATTTGCCTGGGGCACAAAGGATATTTCAGGAAAGTAGGAACAAATGAATAGTACTAAGGCCATGGTGAGGGGAGCAGAGTGAACAATCTGTCCTGAAGGACCATGTTAGAACAGAACCGACAAATGGAGAAGACCTCGATACCCAGCCCAGTCAGGGAGGAGGAGAAAAGGAAAACTCTACAGAAGGCAAAACAATCATCCAGGGTGGGGCAGGCAGTGGTGGTGCACGCCTTTGACCCCCACAATTGGGAGGCAGAGGCAGGTGGATCTCTGTGAGTTCAAGGGAAGTCTGGTCTACAGAGTGAATTCCAGAAAAGCCAGAGCTATACCAAGAAACCCTCTCTTGAAAAAATAAACAAACAAACAAACAAACCAAAAAATCCAATCACTCTGAGTGTTGCTTTCAACTGTGGGCTCTTAGCATGCACAGTCTTTTGTGTTTATACTGAAATGCCTTGACACAAGCATGTTGGAAAAGCCATCTCGGTTCTGGGTGCTTTCTTCCTCCACAGACACGTCTGTGTGTTGTCTGCAGGGATCTCGGAATGAACCCAGCAACCGTGTGAGGTTGGTGGAGACCCCAAAGGGCAGCCTGCTGGGTTTCTCAGGAAGCAGAGATCAGCATTCAGGTTCCTCAGGTTGACCTAACCAACTTATGCATAGAAAAACGTGTTCACCTCTTAGCGGGACTGCACATTCTTTTTGTTTGGGAATTCTCTTTTTTAAAAACATGCTTTATAAATGAGCTCTTTACCTTTTTGCCTTTTTAATGTTATATAAAGTCACCACCACCAACAAAGTAATAAAATTGTTAGAGCTTTCATCCGAGGCTTTTATCTTCTCTAAAGATCTTTTTTTTTTTTTTTGTTTTTTTTTTACTGAATAAAAATATTGGGATTGGAGTTCAAGCTGGCTTATTTTATCCCGAAATGTCACTGTCAGATGATATCCTGCCAGATACCCCCACCCCCCAGTTTTCAGCGAGGGGGGGGAACGACTAAAGATCTGTGGCCAAGAAGAGAGGTTTATTTGCTTCTTAACGGTATATTGACTTCTAGAGCAATAACGACTTCTCGGTAGCTGGTGTCACGTTAGTTATCGTAACACAAATAGAATCTAACTTTTATCTTTTTGAACATTAACAGCAATGAAATATAGTAATCACTGTGCAGCGCTGCATTTGGACCCTGCAACCATCATGTCTTTGCATTGGCCTTTTAGAAAACGAAATACTGACCCCTTCCTCCCACGAATTGTTTTATCGCAGCAATAGAGAAGCAGATTAGGACAGAAGGTTGGTCGATGTGTAGAGAAAATACTGCTGGAGTATTCTGGAACACTGGTGACATTTCAATAATAAAAATCGAGGTTATTCAGGAGGACTTCATTCGAAGTGAAGCAGTTTAAGTCACATTCCCAATCTAAAGACATTTTTACATGTCTCAGAGGAGGAGGAAGGGTAGAGAGGATGCCTTCCGACTGAGAACGGGACAAGGCACCGACACCTACAGTCCAGTTCTAGGGGACTTCAGCCAAGAAATGCGCAAGAGGCTAAACTCTGGGATACAAAAACAGGTCTGGAATTTAAATGCGTAGGTTAAGCGTCACGGACGGAAAAGGCAAGAGACAGGGCAGCGAGGAAAGGGGAAGGCATTCTAGAAGCCTCCGCGTTTTCTGGGGGCTGGCAAGACATCTAGAGCTCTGACACCCAGGCTCCGGGGGTCTGGTCATCACATTATGGTCACCCCTTGATGGAACATTTCTCAAGAGCAAATTAACTTCAAATTTTAATATGCCTGCCAGAAGTATTCCTTAGAGGTTCATTCAGATAATGGGAGAAACAGGCTAGCACTTCTGATAAAGTGTAAGGAAGGAAAACAGTTTCTATTCTCCATTTCTGTCCAAGAGTTAGTAGTAAAGAAAGGAGGGCGGGGCAGGAGAGAAAGGTCCAGCTTAAGAATGAACAAGGATGCCTTGGGGTTTTATTTGTTTTTGTTTATTGTTTGTTTTGAGCGCCATCTAGTCGCCAAATGTTTTCAAACTAGTATTTATGTGAACAGCTGGGTAAAAGCAAGGGATCCTGGGCTCTGCTTCCCTAAGTCCAGACTATAAAGCAGTATGGGGTGTAGTGGGGTGTGAGGTGGGGCTGGCTTTGCAGTTAATGCACTTGCCTTGCAGGCATAAGGCCCAGAGTTTGGTTTCCTTCCCAGAAACCCACAGGAACGCCCCGTGGGTGAGACAGTCCCTTGAGAGTCTTGGAGGAGGCAGGAAATCCCCAGAGTATGAAGGCTGGAGTGGGGAGTTCTGGGTTCGATTGAAAGAACCCACTTTGATGAACAAAATGGAAGGACAATTGAGGATGATTCCTAATGCATGTGCACTGATAGGCACACACATGCACACACATGCACACACACACACACACACACACACACACTCTTGGATATAGGCTGTGATGATTGGCTTTTTTAGACAACTGACCTAGGAGACTCTCAGGCAAATGGCCCGAGCGTCATTCTTTGGAACGCGCCACCCACATTAAAACATAGTTACTTGCTTCTTTCTGCACGGCATTAGTTCTGGAAAGCAAGCCCCCGTCACATACCATTTGGCTAGAGATAAATTAACAAAACCCAACTGGGAGACCTGACCTTCACCATGTCCAGGGGGCCACTGAATGGCAGCTCATTAGCCTACCCAGAGAGGGTCACCCTGGTCTCAGAAAGCCCACCTCAGCGTTCTCCAGGTTCTTACCTCCTTCGGCGACAGTATAGAAATGTAGTCTTCATATATAATCCTGGCCTTCTCTTCAACGACTTTTTTGTTCTGCTCTTTCTTTAAGTCTTCGCAGGCTAGCCAGAAGAGGAGGTTCTCCTCGCTGTATTCTGTTCGGAGGAACTCTCGGAAAAGGTTTCTTCCTGCAGGAGCCTTCATCATCTTGTCAAAATTTTGAGACCAGGACATGACCTCGTCTGCAGTGGGGTTTTGGCTGCGGAGACAGAATGAAGCCATTAGAAGCAGCTTCCACCTGTGAGTGCCAGCAAAGGGCGGGTGGTTTTAAATTCCTAGTCACGTGCTGCCCTCTAGTGGTCGTATTTCGTTATTGCGTCTGGCTTGATCTGGCAAGCAATCTGAGGGACTGAATCAGTCCTGAGCTTTGACAAATGACACCGTGGGTGCAAAGGCAGCGATGGGAGCTGGGAGTCAGAACAGTAAGGAGTAAGATACCACATGACCACGGCTGTCGGACAGTCCTAAAGAATCCTGCAAGTGGTGATGTTTCTTAGCTTTTTCTTGTAAATGAACGGGAGGTTTTCCCTCTCTCTCATTTGCACTGGTTTAACCGTAAGAAAGGGTTGATTTTTCACCTCCAGTACCCATGGCTTATTATTTACACAATCTAAAATAGGAATACGTTTTGTGCACTTTATCCCCAATGCTCAAAATATTCCCTGGAAGGCAGAGGACTAAGGACAGCGTGCGGGATTTTCTGGATAACTATATATAACAAAGATCATTATTGCCAATCCACCAGTCACTGGCCAATTCGCCTTCATACCAAAGAAGAAAGAAGGAGAAGCACAAGGCTTGAAGTTTTTTTTTTTTTTATCCAGAATCTTGGCTTTTGACTCAAAATATATTTGGTTAGTAGGGGTGTTATTTTATTTTTCTTAATGTGTAGCCAGGTCTCTTAAATAGACTAGCAGCTGCCCCATAATATCTGAAGCTCTCCATTCATCTACAATATTAAATTTAGGGCTGGGGATGATTCAGTGGGTAAACCTGAGTTTGAATCCCCAGCCCCCGTGTAAAAGCCAGGTAAGGGGACGTGCTTCAGCTAGGTAAGGGGTCGTGTTCCATAACCCCAGTGCTTGGGGTAGGGGACAGAGATAGCCAGATGCCAGGCACTCACAAGCAAGTAAGTTTAGCAAAACTTTGAGTTCCAGGTTCAGTGAGAGACCCTGCTTTAAGAAGGTGGGGGTGTATGGCGTGATAAAGGGGGTCACTTGATGCTCTCCTCTCACATGCACACCTGCACACATGTGCACATACGCATCCATAAACCATGAACGTACACCTGCCCACACTCACCACAATAAAAAATTAAATGTACAGCTGTCTAACGTCACAGTGAAACTCATACTGAACTTCCATGAAAAGCAAAAGAGGAGGCGTTTACAACGATGTGAACCATCAACTTATAATTAGGTTGTCACCTCTAAAATCACGTTTCATTTCCTCGTTTTGGAAAGATGCGGTTGAAGTCTGTTGTGGTGGCTATAAAACCAGGAGTTGGCTAGCTGGCTATTTTTCCTGGTTGATTTTGGTAATTCAGTGTGTGTGTGTGTGTGTGTGTGTGTGTGTGTGTGTGTGTGTATTTCTGTTATGCATATATGTATATGTATGTTCTTGTGTATATGTGTATGTGTGTATATGTACATGTGCATATGTATGTATGTGTGCAGTAATGTCCATGTGTGTATGAGTGGGTGTGCATGTGTGTTTGTGTGCATGTGTGTGTATATAAGTGTGCATGTATGTGTGCAGTTGTGCGTATGTGTGCATGTGGTATTAAGATTCCTATAAAATGAAGACAAATTTTAAAATATTTCCAGTAAAATATTTTAAGAGAAGTTAAAGTAAAAGAGAAGTCAAAGTAAGGCATTTTCTGCAGTAATTCATGCAATAAATTTATTGAACTACTAGAAAGATAAACTTAGACAATGCTTGACTTTGTAGCATAGCTAATAGAAAACCTGGTCAAAACTAACTGCAATCATAAGTAAGATCTTCCAGGCTGAATGCTGAGCTACCATTCCTTTCCGAGACCCACAGAGGTGATGCTTCTGCACGGGGTGGGGGCGGGGGCGGGGCGGGGGTGGGGGCGGGGGCGGGGGACAGTGGCACCGACACACAGAACGGACTCCAGCCCGGCTGCCACACTCACCATTCCTCTAGGACCTGGATGCTCTCCATTTTTGTGGTGTGGGGGGGTCTCCCCGCAGAGTCTCCTCTCTCCTCGTTCCTGACGGTGAGGCTGAAATGAACACATTTTGTCATGGGAATTGCAAAAAGTCAAAGAAAAAATATCACTTCCACAGGAGAAACAGGTCACAGAGATTTTACTGCCAACCATGTGGGGTTATTTAAAATACAGAAGGAGGAATACCACTTTTAAATGATGGTGGAGAGTTGGTAGGTCTATACCAACTTAAAAAATCATAAAATAACTCAGAGCCCTGACATGGATATCAGTATCTATTCTGACTTCATTATTATGTAACCATAACTTAAATTACTTAAATTCTTTTTAAGATTTATTTATTTATTATGTATACAACATTCTGCCTCCATGTATGCTTGCACACCAGAGGAGGGCACCAGATCCCATTACAGATGGCTGTGAGCCACCATGTGGTTGCTGGGAATTGAACTCAGGACCTCTGGAAGTGCAGTCAGTGCTCTTAACCTCTGAGCCATCTCTCCAGCCCCCTTAAATTCTTTTACATAAGTGTACCTTTATAACCTCAACACTGGACATGTGTTAATATTTGAGATATCGTTGTGTTACCTTTAAAAGTGGAGAGTCATTTGATTTTTGCTTAGTTCTGTTCAGTTTTTCTCATTTGTTTTCTCCCTATTAGTAGCTAAGAAGATAGAATATGTCAGAAGCCAATACAGACTTAGATACCTTTGTACCATCCTTCCCTTCAAGCCAGATTTTTGTCATCAATACTGTTGTTCCTCCAGACCCTAAAGTCTGAGCAATTGGATTGGGTTCTATGTCAGTCAATCTCCAGCGGCTTGGGAGAGACAAGGAAGCCATTGCAAGGGTGTGGAGCAGGAGACCATTGGGTGAGTGTGCTGATCATTTTCCACTGTCACCTCAACAGGATCCAGAACTATCAGGAAGACGGGACTCTGGCTATGCCGATGGGGGAAATACCTTGATTATGTTCACTGATATGGGTGGAGTAATTTAACTGTGGGTGGGGCCATTCTTCAGCCAGAGTTCCTGGATCTTCTGAACACGTTAGCATTGCTCCTCGGTTTCCTTACTATGACTATGGCAAGACAGTTGCTTCGGGCTCCTGCTGACTGAACCTCCCCACCATAATGGACCATACCTTGAACTGTGTGCTAAAATAAGCCCTTTCTCCTGTAAGCTGTTTTTGTGTGTGTATTCTATCACGGTAATAGGAATGAAGCTGAGGCTGGAGAAAAAGGCTCCAAGTCAACGTGACCCAGAACAAGAGGTTGGGGACCAGGAAAGCCCCATGTGTTCCATTAGAACAAGAAGAATCACTGATTAAGGTCAACTGTAGCTTAATGGTGCCTTGTGGTAGAGACCAGGGTTAAGGGGCAAACGAGAGAGAGAGAAGGGTGTCCTGTAGATGCCAAGGGCAGGTGGGATGGTTCCAGGGCTTAGTTGGTTAAAGCACCTGCCCAGTGATGACTCAGTGGTCCTTCATCAGCAGAAATGCAAGTTCCTGAGTTTAAAACAAACAAACAAACGGATATTTCTGTCTAGAAGATGACGGGCTTCTTGGGAACCCATCAGGAGCAAGCACAGGTCCTATATCATCTCTTCCATTGGCTCATTCGCTCATGTACAACCAACAGCAATGGAAGTTAGCTGTTAGTGACACCATTCTCTCTATGTTAAATATTACTGCCCCCATTGTATAGGGAAGGAAAGCAAAGGTCAGAGTGCTCTAAGTTGGTCAAAACCAGAGCGGAGCTGTATGATATGGCTTGAACTACATCTTTATTGCGTGCCTGCTCTATACACCAGGCCTCCTGTTAGGTACAGTCATTGGTAACCACTAAATATGGCTGTGGTAGAAAGGAAGCCTGTGGGGTCAGGGAGATAACCCATGAGATGTTCTTCTCAGCCTAGAAAGTCTGGCTAGCGAAACTGCGAGACAGTGTCTCGTGAATATAGTCGTGACTCTCAGATTGTGGCAGGGAAAGATGGAGAGACTGTAGTGTAGAGAAGAATTTAAAGAATTCAGGTTCGCAGGGTGGTGGTGGCATAAGCCTTTAATCCCAGCACTCAGGAGGCAGAGGCAGGCAAACTTCTGGGAGTTCGAGGCCAGCCTGGTCTATAGGGTGAGTTCCAGGACAGTCAGACCTACACAGAGAAACCCTTTCTTGAAAACAAACAAGCAAAACGAGTTCTGGCTCCTACCAGTGAGGCCAAGCTACCTTTGACTCTGACTAGGTGGAAAAATTAATCAGCAAAAGTACATCCATTGGAGAGAAAAGACGTTCTCTTTTCTCTTTCCAACGTTGGGAAGGACCCTTTAATACAAAGAAAAATAAATAAATAAATAAAACTTAATAATGAAGTAAAGTACATGTTCCTCCTCCCAGCTTGGGGTGAGGGGCAGTGGCCAGCTTGCTGAAATAGGACTAGAGCGGCAGAGGCTTCGGTGCAGCGCAGCCAGGGGCAAGACGCTGAGAGAAAGCAGCAGTGCTCAATTTAGCCCAGCGTGTTGGCACTAGGGATACGCTTGAAGTCCGAGATAGCCCAGAAACCGCTGCCTTCATTACAGTGATCCTAAGATTCCTCGCTCGCTCTTTGAGTGAAGGTGTTCCTGGAATTTGAGTGGCTGTTTGGGTGAGACACACAGCGACGTTACTCTGTCGCATTTCCCCCACATATATCAAATATGTGCCTTTCGTGACTTTTACAAAATCTCTCATTGAGACCGGAAGTTCCTCATTTTCACCCAGCGTCCCAGAGAAGGTTTCACACAAAACGCAGGTCACCGCGCACGCTCACTTCATGCAACATATCTTGGAAATTGCTTCCCTCTGGGCCTCCGCTGCAGGCAACCAATCTGGAGTCCATGTGCATGAATCACACGCTTCCGAGCATAAATCCTGGCTCTTGTGTCTGTTCCTGCCATGTTTACAAACATCTCAAATGCCGCCATATTAGAGCCATCAGTACGAAATATTGGATTCTGTTGGCATCTCTCGTTTCTACAGATGGTAAAATATGGACACACATTTGGACTAAAACTAGTTGTGACAGACATTCAATAAATGCTTCACTGTTCTCCACGGATGCCGTTCTTAATTTAATACTGGGCACAGCCTTAGCTTTCGATAAAAAAAAAAATCAAACTTAAGCATTGGTAGCGTAGGCACATAGTACAAGAATCCCCAGAGATAGTTGGCTAGGTACATTAGCCAAGGGAGTGATTTCTGGGCTTGACTGAGAGACTCTGCCTCAAAGAATAAGTTGGAAAGTAAATTTCTGATATTAACCTTCCTCAAGTCTGTGCACGTGTGTGCTCTCTCGTGCAAATTTGCATACACACACACACACACACACACACACACACACACACACACACATGGGGGGGGAGAAAGAAAGATTAATCACCAGAAATGTCATCTAGAGCTTGAGATGGAGAAAATGAGGGTGAAATCGTTGCTAGTCTGGCTACCTGTCCAGAGACTGACGTCTTTCCCTTTCACTTGGCTCTGCCCTAAGGACTCATGGGCTTGGGTTGTTTTTGAAGGTAATAAATTATGGATCATATTTTAACTCTAACCTTCTCAGTGTTCTGTGTGTTTGAAGAAGTTAAAACATAAGAGTTGTGAGATCTCAAAATGATGTGTGTGTTAATTGTCCATTTGACAGGCTCTAGAATCGCTGGAGAGATGGGCCCCTGGGCATGCCTATGGGAGTTATATTGACTGTATTAGTTAGTGTAAGGAGACCTAACTTGACTGTCAATGGGGCTAAGAATCTTGTAGGGGGTTCTAGACTATATAAAATAGGGGAAGTGAGTTGGACATTAAGACATGTTCGCTGCTGTTTCTTGTCTGTGGATGTGATGTTGCCAGCCAGCTACTTCAAGCTCCCTGATGGACTATACCTTAAATTGTAAGTCAGAGTCAACTGCTCGCTCCTTAAGTTATGTGACTTTTTCTCCTTCTTCACTTTTAGGTTGATAACAGTTAAATAAACATTTCTACCTTCTGATCTAAGACACAAAGAGAAGGAGACACACCCACCGTGCTCTCTGTGGGGTTCTCCATCAAAGCCTACACACTTCAGGAACATGGAGCCTCAACAACCCAGGCTATAGCTGCAAAAGCAATCATGGAGACTCGTTAGAGATTCTCAGGCCTGGTGACCCCGGGATGGGAGGAAATATGTCTAGTACATTTCAGAGAGCAAGAAGTGGGCTTTGCCTGTGGCTGGTGGATTGATTGCAGAGCAGCATCAATTGTGGCAGGGGTGAGGGAGTGGGGAGTGGGGGGTAGGAGGGGCAGGAAGAAACGCCTGAAGCTGGTGGCGGCTTTCCTCGCCCGTTATCAGAAATCGAGCACACTCCATTTTGGAAGGCGGTCAGCTGCTGTAAGGAAACAATGAGTGCTTAGAAACAAGGCTTTAAGAAAGTGGTAAATACCATGAAACCTTTGCGGTAGCCATGGTGATGCTGGAATTGCAGATGATCATGCGTATTTATGTAAAATGCGGTGGGGAATGAGTAAAGTGCACAGATTTAGGCCACGGTGACAGTAAAGCTCCAGAAGGGCACCACCCTCATCAGGGGACAGGGACTGGATTACCAACCAGCACCATCTCATGTGCAGGGACACAGGAGCTCAGGCCGACTCACACTGCCCCCAACCGCAGCAAGCTGGGGCCGACATCCTCTGACTCCCCGCCTCATGTGAGCTTGGCTCGGCAGCATGACCACTGCCTCTTCTTAGAAAAACTGTCCTGGATGTTTTACCTTCTCAGTTATTCACAGAAGTGGCCCGATCTTAGAGAAAAGCTGTGGGAGGGGCATATCAGAGTGCTATGGGCATTGGTCCACAACACGGGGCACACAGAACACACACACACCAGACACAGACAGCTCTGCAGTCTCCAGACAAACCCACACCTCCCCCAGGACACACAGCACACTGAGACAACAGCAAACGAATCACAAACACACTGAAGTCAGACAGTGGCCAAGGATGCCTTCAACGTCAGGCAGAGGCTAAGTCATTTTTAAACTAAGG